ATTCAAAGCATGTGTTGGAAACAAAATGTTAATCATGCATTCAAAAAATATTCACATAATACAGAAACAATGTTTCATATATATAGAAGATTTAGATATACACAGAAAATGTAACATGTGTATGAAGAAAAGTAGACACCAAAACATATATTTGAAAAAATGTTGATCATGTATTTGAAAAAGTTTAAACATGTATGAAAAATCTTATACATACGAAAAAATCTACAATGTTTATGGAAAAATTAGACATGTGTTGGACCACCACCACCACCACCACCACCACCGCCCCCCTCCCCGGCGGAAAACCGGTGAAAGACAAAGAAAAAAAATGAAGAAATAAAGAAAACGAAAAGAAAGCCAATGCAAAACAGTGAAAATACTGATAAAAAGTCACAGAAAGAACAACTAGCGCGCAGCTATAGTATTGGACCGGCCAAATAGCGTCGTACTGCAGGCGAGACTTATTAGGAAAGAATCAGTTCAGGCCATACATAGCTCACGCGTGCATAATAGGCGCGGCCTGCGATTATCTATTTACTCTTCTAGCGCCGATTACATCCTCAAAAAAAACGTGGGTTTCGGTAGATAGTGCACGCCCACTTCGAACGTTAATGTACAGTGAATTAAATGGGTCGGCCCTTTTTAGCTATTCCCAGCGAATTTGAATAAAATTCCCTGAGGTTATTTTGGCTGGCTTCTCTCTGTTTCTACTTTGGTTTTTTTGGTCCGTTTCTATTTTACTTTTTATTTTTTGGCTTTTTCTTCTTCTTTTTAAATTTTTCTAGTCGAGTTTTGATTGGTTTCTTCCGAATGGTTGTGGGAAGCTTATGGTCATTTTCATATTTTGTTTTCATTCCTATTCTGTTTTTCATTTGCTTTGTTTTACTTCTTTTTAATAGTACTTTTTAAAAATAAAAGCTTGTATTAAATTCATTAACTTTCTTTAAATTTCATAATTATTTTCAAAACTGCAAACTTATTTCAATTCAATGATTTTTCAGATTAATAATCTTGTTATATTCGTAATCTTTTGCAAATTGGTGAACTTTTTCAAATTAGTGAACCCTTTTCAAATTTGTAGATTTTTTTAATTTGAAAACCGGATAACTATTTCTCTTCTTTATAACAGAGCAATACAAAAAAGAAAGGCAAGTAAAACAAAACAAAGCGAGCGCACGCACGTGCGGGCAGTCAGCGAGCAAGCGAAAGGACATGTCCACCCTAAGAGTGAGCAAGCAAGCCACAAATGGGCACAACTCGCGCGATGGCCGCTTTAGCGTTATGCATTGATTTGATGCCGAAAGCGCTGATTAGGAGGTCTTGCGCGGCTATGTCTCGCTTTAAGCAAACCGGGTAGCTACTCGCCTAAGGAACTACTGTATTGCGCCGCCCCAATTTGCTTTACTTCATTTATTTATTTTGTTGGTTTTCTTTCATATTTTATTCAAAATAAATACATTTACTGTAAAAATTAATTGACTGAAACTAAATAAATTTTTTTAATCACGACTTTGAAAAAATGTTAAAGTTGTGCAAAATATTTGTTCTTGTAACTTTTAAAAAAGTTGGTGACGCTTACAAAATGTTCAAACATTTCAGAAATGTTACATGATTATCTTTAAAAAATATTTCTACAATGTAATTGTTTTTCCGCATAATACAGAGAAAATGTTTCATACAAAGAAAAAATGTGCATGCATTTAAAAATAATATTGGTAACATTTTGAAAAATCTTTATACAATTTTTAAAAGTATTTGGTAGTTAAAAAATGTTTCATGCCATCAAAAATTTTTGGTGGTTGCCTTTGTACGTTATCACGTTGTCTTGGTGCTTCTTGCGGGTAGCAATAGGGCACACATTTAGACGCGCCTCCAAGAAAAATAATATAAATAACCGGTCAATTGCAGGATGACGCACGCTTGCCAAAGAAACAAGAGAAAGTAGTAAGAAAAAAAATCAAATCAAGGGTAGCAGGAATTAAGCATGAATTTCATAGTAGAGAAACACCGAACATATATAAGTAAAGTTGTATAATTAAGCAGGAACTAAGCAGGAGTTTTGATATAATTAAGCTGTAATTAAGAACAAGTAGCAAGATTTATTCATTGAGTTAAATACGTTGGAGGTGCCTCAACTTGTCTTGCGCGATCAGTTTAGTGCCTAAAGTTGTAAAATACATGAAACTGGTGCTTGAACTTGTTCGACTATGCAAATACGGTGCCTTCATTCGTATCCAGACGTACGTCCAGCCTGCGTGGCGTGCCCACGTGCCGGTGGCCCACCCAAACATGAGATTTTTTTAGAAACCCCCTCATATTTTATTTAATCACATATGAAAGCCCACAAATTTACAGATTGTGTTGCACGCACAGGCTGTCCACCAGGCTATATTGTGTTTAGTAGATATAGACTAGGTCAAACTTTATATATTGTGTTACAATGCAAAATGTAATTTTAAAGCACCGGCACATTGTGCTCTTTTTTAGAAAGTCAAATAAATGGATTTCTACAGCTAAACAACTCCGGACATTTTTTGTACATGCACACATAGAAGTGCAATATATCCAAGTGATTTTTTAATCAAAATCTGTATTTGTTTGCGAGAGATACAAAAAAGGTAAAATAAATGCAAAAATCAGTTTTTTTGCCTGATTTGATTTCTTCTTTTTCAGGGTATAATATAACAAAATTTCAAAAAAAAACTTGGAAGTCACCTAGAGCACCTGCATACATTTTTTGTGAAAATTTTAAAATTCGTATGAAACTTTTAAGTGCTAGTTTTAAAAAATTTAAGAAAAAACACGCTCAGTGGCCACCGTGCTCCAAAATTCTGCTTTGGTCGCTATGTACCTCTCAAAAAAATACAAGTTCTTTTATTATTATTATTTTTCATTTTATTTTTACCATTTTAAAAGAAAATTATAAGAACAAAACTACAACTGCCGTAAAATTATAAGAACAAGTTAGTGCATTTGAAAATTGTCAACATGTTTTTGGAAAATGTTTCACATGTATTATAAAATTATAACGCATTTTTGAAAAATGTCGTCATGCGTTAAAAAAGTTTACAACATGTATTTTTAAAATATTTCAACTTGTGTGAAACAGTTATTGTGTAAATTATCCTTACATTTATACAAACACAAAAAAAAGTTGACATTTTTTATTCTTAAATTTAGACAATAATTCCTAATATAGGTTAAAATATTTAAATCCAGATAAATTAAGTTCATGTCTCCCTCTTCGAAGTACAATAATGAAAATGGAAAAAGTATTTAAAATATAAAATAATAGCATATTGATAATTGTAATTTTTCATATGCGAAAATTTATATGTTATGAAACTAAATAGGAACTTGGAAAAAAATAAAAAGAAGAAAATTGCAGAGCGATACATGGATTGTATAGCTTTCTAGGTAGGAGTTGAATTTGAAGCATAGTCCGGCCGTCTGGCCAGATCGTGCCGTTGTTATGGAGTTTTTTTTCATGTTATTTCTGGCTATCACACAGTGTATTTGATGGATTTTATATTGAGTAAATAAAAATGAGGTTTTTTTTGTAAAACATATTCACGCGTGGGCCACCCGGCTCCTCTTAGGCACTGTCACCTTTGTACGCCATGCTGGCTGGACGTCCGTCCGGATACAAATGGAGGCACCGTAATTGCACGGCCGGACAAGTTCGAGCACCAGTTTCACGTATTTTGCAACGTTAGTCATCAGTTTCACGTATTTCACAACTTTAGGCACTAAACTGACCGCAAAGAACAAGTTGAAACACCTCCAGTGTATTTAACTCTTATTCATTTATGGAAATTATAGTGTATATTCATTCTATCGAAACACCCCCTGCTAGGATACCATGCTCGTTTTGAACTCGTTTAAGTAAGGCTGATTATGCCCCGAGTTTGTTTGCAAACCGTAAGCAAGTTGGATTACCGAAAACTGGATGATGCCCCAAAAATGCACCATATGGTGAGGTCTCGGCATTGGTGAGAACATGGGGATCTTCCTCAAGGTCGAGGACGACCTGAAAGCAGCAGTAACATGAAGGGTTCGGTTGTGATCTTGTGGCCTCAAAGATAAGTCAGAGATGAAATTCGATTTAATGCTCCTGTCTCAACCAAACTACGCTGCTGCCCAACGGCCAGCGCCTATGGGTTGCTAGCCGCAATGAAAACCATTGAGGTGGCAACGACGTCAAATTTCAGTTTGGGGCTAATAGTTTTGGAATTTCTCTTCTGTAACAAAAAAAAATCAAAAGAAAAACCATGAAGTAATAACCCGACTGGGGTCAAAGTTGCGCCTCTTTTCACTGTGTTGTGAGGAAGTACAGGTTGGGCATCGGTAACAAGATTCAATTTGGGTTACACTTGAAGGGCTGCAATGCTGCAGCCAGCAGATGACATGGCCCCCCAGACTGTAGGAAAAATCAGTGCTGTGCGGCAATTATATTTAGGAAAGAGGATAAATTGTTAATCAGTGAAAAATAATAAACATGTGATCAAACTTTGTTCTATCGATTCTGAGAGTTAGGCTACATAAGCTCTGAACTGATATGCCACCTTGATGAATCTACATTTGGTAAGCAACAACACTTGATGCAGACATCAGCCAAACTGAAACTGTAAAAAAATATACAGAGCAGTGCTAGATTAGAGGTGAAGATAAAACAGTACCGGAAACTTGGATTATATATGTATAGTCCCCCAACTTAAACTGATCAGATAGTCTACAAACTTCTTGGATGCAGTTCCACCACTTTGTGTAGAATACTTGGATGTTGACCAACTTCTTGGGTGCAGTTCTACCACTTTGTGTAGAATACTTGGATGTTGACGAACTTCTTGGATGCAGTTCTACCACTTTGTGTAGAATACTTGGATGTTGACCAACTTCTTGGGTGCAGTTCTACCACTTTGTGTAGAATACTTGGATGTTGACGAACTTCTTGGATGCAGTTCTACCACTTTGTGTAGAATACTTGGATTGCTTCAATCTCAGATGAGCAGGACCACACCTCCAGGGTTGTTCTCATCGTATGGTTCATAGGGACAATCATCATCGTCCGAGTCCTCCTCCTCATCAGAGCCCAACTCCACATATTCTTTCTGGACCTGGACGTAGCCCCTAGTGAGCAAATCGACGCGGATCTTGTCCATGAGCCCGACTTTGTCTCCGTCCTTCCTGTTCTTGACCTGACAATGCTCATCAAGGAACTTCTTCCTTTCATGGATCCACCCTGGAGGGAACACCCCGCCGGCGTCGGCGCCCAGGATTTCGTCGACGGTGGGGACCATCGGGAGGGACAAGAAGAAGCGTATGTCGAAGTCACTCATCCGAACCATGCCTGGGGCGGCGACGGAGGCCGGCTCGGGCTTGGACTCCTCCACGATCCTGTCAATTGCCACTTCCAACTGCTGCGCAGGCAACGCCTTCGACTCGGGGAAGGTTAGCAGGGTTGCTTTGATTCTCCGCCGCAGCTCTGCTTCGTCTTCTACTAGGTCGACCGCCATGGTGGGTCGGCCCGCCCAATCGACGGCCCTCCGCTGCCCCGAGGACGCCGCCGCCTGCGCCGGGAACATGTTCAGCGCCTCGCATACCCCGGCCGACTTACTTTTGGCGGGGCATGCCTTCAGCGGAACTTCCCCGCCGGTCACCTCATCCTCCGGCGCGTCCTCCACCAGAATATGATGTTTTGTGGTGGTGCACGGCCTGAGCGAAAGATCGCCCTTTCCGCCGGTCGCCGCCGACATATGTTGTTCGGTGGTGGTGCACGGCCTCAGCGAAAAACCGCCGGTTGCTCGTCGCTGCCTACTAGTGGAACCCTTCTTATCGGCCATCGGTGGGATCGCCTGATTCCTCGCCGCCGAACGATTGTGGGGATTGGGGATCGGGGATTGAGGAGTAGTAAGCAATACGCGAACCCTAGTCCAGACCGAGTCGGGATCTCCAGTCCAATCCTTTCCGGACCAGATTGGGGATCGCCAGTCTAATGTGATCTCAATCTGTAGTGTGACTACCCCATATGTGTTTAAACTTTTGTAGGCAGCATTTGAGGACGGGAACCCAAACTACGGTGATGGGCAAGAGAAAGTTGATGCGGTCATAGCTGATCTTCTCCTGATCCAGGAGTTGGATAAGAATCCCCGTGTACCAAAAGATGTAAGTTTCTTGTTATTAAACATGTTGTATCTACTTGAATGAATTTGCTGTTTCAGCGGTTCTCTGGATCGGTTCAAACTGAATAACGTAGACTTGTTATCCTCATTTCAGGTTGCATAAATTAGATTTGTGACAGGAAGTAGTTTGAAGCAATAGAATTTTTATTGATAGATGAATTTACTGATATTGGTATTATCGATAGTTATTTTTGTACAAAAGCAGATTAGTGTTTCCAGCCATGGCAGACTTTCTCGTAGAACAATCAATCATTGAGCAATCATCACATTTAGTCATGCCTGAATCACATACAACACTAGGTGATTGTTGCAGTCTCGTGTTGTATGGGGTAGTCATAAAGTGATAGGCATAGCTTTCATTGTGAATGTCTACTTTCTCTAGTAATGTTTGTGAGGTTGTTAGATTTCAATTGTATAGACAAGACCGTAATGGGATGTGTTGCAAGTTGCAGGAGTTGTGTCGTTACAATGTGCTCCCCGAGGAGCTCACTGCACTAGGGCCAAGGGTCAGAGAATTGGGTGATGACATGTACGAAGCTCTTGGGCTCTCTTCTATGGACAGACGCAGGTATTATTATTTACAGTGTACAAATAACTCTCAATATCGATCGTTGGATTTTTTCAATCAGATGGTTCACATTGCTTTGCTGCAACTCCAAAATGTCATCGTGCCACATTATGTAGTTATATACCGTTGGATATGGCAATCCTAGGGCTGAAATGCCTGCTCTTCGCATTGACCCCTACCACTTGCCAGCCTCCTGCATGCACAGATGGCACTCCCATCATGGAAGAAGCCACACAGCATGCCAGTACTTGTAGTAATTTTTTAATTGAATTGAACTTGACACAAAGCTGTACTGAGCATGGGACTCATCTTCTGTCAGGTGGACTCACGTTTCTTGCTCTCTCTCCCTTCCTTCCTTCCAGAAGTCTCCACAAGAGTCTGTACAAACCATGGGATAGAAAAAAAGTTCCTTTGCCTCATGCATCTAGGCCTCTAGAGTACAAAAGGGAACGATACAAGGCTGCATGCTAAAGTCAAATTATTTTCCCGCATACATATAAATCACACTAGTAGAAAAAGGGTCAAATGTGAGACACATTAGTCCCGGTTTGTAACAGAACCGGCACTAATGTGTCCATTAGTGCCGGTTCCAATGGCTAGCCGGGAGGAGCTCTTTAGTACCGGTTCGTGGCAAACCTTTAGCACCGGTTCGTGCCACGAACCGATACTAATGAGAATGGTGGCAGGATGTTGTCAGAGTGGGGCCCTTCCAGCACCTTTAGTACCGGTTCGTGGCACGAACCGGTACTAAAGGTCGTCCTATATAAATCCTTCGTCCACCCGCACTCTGTTCTTCCCCCTTTCCCCTCTCCCTCTCCTCTGTTCTTCCCTTCTTCCTCTCGAGTTCATTACAAAATTTGCCCCAAATTTGTCAAGATTTGCAGGCCATCATCCATTCAAATGATCACCAAGGTTAGCAACTTTGTCCTTTCATCTCTCATTGCTAGATTAGCTCTTGCATTGGTTTATATAGTGATTAATTGTGGGTTTTAGTAATTTGGGAGGAATTATATGTGGTAGTATTTGATTTATATGCAATTTGAGGTCAAAATAAACTTAGTTTGCATATGTAGGTGTGGTTTACTTAGTGCCTTCTAAATCTCCGTCGTAACCACCGTCGATCGCCCGCACCGTCCCGTCGCCGGCACCACCTTGTGGTGAGCCTCTTGTTCATGAAATTTTATATAAAAAATTGATGTTTGTGTGATTTGGATATATAGTTACTCGTATAATAATTATCTTACCCGTACGTTGTTTGTTATACATAGTGCCATGGTTTTGATATCCGTCCCCGTCGGCCCTCGTCCTTGTTATGATTCGGATGTGGTATATTCTCTTTTAAAACTATTTGTTGCATTTCGTGTTTATGACAAATTATGCCCATCAAGTTGACATAGATATTTTTATCTAGGAGGTATGTGAACCGGAAATTCCAACCGACCCTATTGTCGAGAGGTTAAATTTAGTTGAAAGAGAAAACGAGTACTTGAAAGAAAAATTGAAAAGAATTGAGGGGGAGAAGATGGAATTGGAGTTGCATGTTGCCGATGTCGTCGATGATCACAAGATCAAGATGGAGAAAATGCGCTTGAAGATTAGAAAGATTAGAAAATATGCCATCGATAGTGAGGCTTGGTATCATTATGCTGTTGGATCAATTGTTACCTTAGTTGCGATCTTGATCGCATTTGTTGTTGCATTTAAATGCTTTAGCTAGAGAGTTATTTGTTTGTTGCATTTAAGTGTTGTATGAACTTTATGTATGAACTTGTATTAATTTGGTCTATTCTGTGTTGTGTAATGAAGATGAGCCGGCAATGGATGTACGATGACCGATGCTCTCCCCAGTTCGTTGAGGGCGTGCATACTTTTCTGCTTGCGGCTGAGGCAAACAAGCGGGCGGATGGTTTTATGCCTTGTCCATGTGCTGGCTGTAAGAATGGTCACAATTACTCTACGTTAAGAACCATTCATGTCCACCTGTTTGAGTCCGGTTTCATGCCCCACTATAATGTTTGGACCAAGCACGGAGAAAGAGGGGTTATGATGGAAGACAATGAAGAAGAAGAGGACGACGACAGCTATCCTGGCCATGGGTTCCCTGAATACGATGATACAACAATGGGGGAAGAAGCTGAGCCGGCAATGCGGGAAGAAGCTGAGCCGGCAATGCGGGAAGAAGCTGAAGAAGAGGCATCAGATGAGCCCGTTGATGATCTAGGTCGGGCCATTGCCGATGCAAAGAGAAACTGCGCAAGTGATTTGGAGAAGAAGTTGCAGCGCATGTTAGAGGATCACAAAAAATTGTTGTACCCGAATTGCGTAGGTGACAAGAAAAAGCTGGGCACCACACTGGAATTGCTGCAATGGAAGGCAGAGAATGGTGTATCTGATAAGGGATTTGGAAAGTTGCTGGTAATGATAAAGGATATGCTTCCAAAGGACAACGAATTGCCCGAGAGTACGTACGAAGCAAAGAAGGCTGTCTGCCCTCTAGGGTTAGAGGTGCAGAAGATACATGCATGTCCTAATGATTGCATCCTCTACCGCGGTGAGTACGAGGATTTGAACGCTTGCCCGGTATGTGGTGCATTGCGTTATAAGATCAGCCGCGATGAGCATGGTGGTGTCGAGGGCGAGCGCCCCAGGAAGAAGATTCCTGCCAAGGTGATGTGGTATTCTCCTATAATACCACAGTTGAAACGTTTGTTCCAAAACAAAGAGCATGCCAAGGCAATGCGATGGCACAGAGAAGACCGTAAGAAAGACGGAAAGTTGAGAGTACCAGCTGACGGGTCACAGTGGAGAAAAATCGAAAGAAAGTACGGGAAGGAGTTTGCAGATGACGCAAGGAGCGTATGGTTTGGTCTAAGCGCAGATGGCATTAATCCTTTTGGGGAGCAGAGCAGCAACCATAGCACCTGCCCTGTGACTCTATGTTTGTATAACCTTCCTCCTTGGTTGTGCATGAAGCGGAAGTTCATTATGATGCCAGTGCTCATCCAAGGCCCTAAGCAACCCGGCAACGACATTGATGTGTACCTAAGGCCATTAGTTGAAGAACTCTTACAACTGTGGAATGGAACAGGTGTACGTGCGTGGGATAAGCACATGGGGGAAGAATTTGACCTAAATGCGTTGCTGTTCGTGACCATCAATGATTGGCCTGCTCTCAGTAACCTTTCAGGACAGACAAACAAGGGATACCGCGGATGCACGCACTGTTTGGATGATATCGACAGTATATATTTGAATAGTTGTAAGAAGAATGTGTACCTGGGACATCGTCGATTTTTTCCGAGCAGGCATCCCGTAAGAAAGAAAGGCAAGCATTTCAAAGGTAAGGCGGATCACAGGACGAAGCCTCGCCACCGTACTAGTGCTGATGTACATGATATGGTCAAGGATTTGAAGGTGATATTTGGAAAGGGTCCTGGCGGACAACCTGTTCCAAAGGACGCTGACGAACGCGCACCCATGTGGAAGAAGAAATCTATATTTGGGACCTGCCATATTGGAAAGACCTAGAGGTCCGCTCCGCAATCGACGTGATGCACGTGACGAAGAATCTTTGCGTGATCCTGCTTGGCTTCTTGGGCGTTTATGGGAAGACAAAATATACACCTGAGGCACGGGAGGACCAGCAACGTATGCACGGAGAAGACGGCATACATCAGGGTCATGCAAGCTACGCTCTTACCAAAGAAGATAAGGAAATCTTCTTTGAATGCCTGCTCAGTATTAAGGTACCGTCTGGCTTCTCGTC